ACCACCAGGGAGCCCACCAGGGAGCCACCACCAGGGAGGGCACCACCAGGGAGGGCACCACCAGGGAGGGGGACCACCAGGGGAGCACCACCAGGGAGCACCACCAGGGAGCACCACCAGGGAGGGCACCACCAGGGAGCACCACCAGGGAGCACCACCCAGGGAGGGCACCACCAGGGAGGCACCACCAGGGAGGGCACCACCAGGGAGCCACCACCAGGGAGGGCATCACCAGGGAGCCACCACCAGGGAGCACCACCAGGGAGCACCCACCAGGGAGCACCACCAGGGAGCCCCACCAGGGAGCCCACCACCAGGGAGCCACCACCAGGGAGGGCACCACCAGGGAGGGCACCACCAGGGAGCCCACCACCAGGGAGCCACCACCAGGGAGCCACCACCAGGGAGGGCACCACCAGGGAGGGCACCACCAGGGAGGGCACCACCAGGGAGCACCACCAGGGGGCACCACCAGGGAGCCCCACCAGGGAGCACCACCAGGGAGGGCACCACCAGGGAGGGCACCACCAGGGAGGGCACCACCAGGGGGCACCACCAGGGAGGCACCACCAGGGAGCACCACCAGGGAGGGCACCACCAGGGAGGCACCACCAGGGAGGGAGCACCACCAGGGAGCACCACCAGGGAGGGCACCACCAGATAGGGCACCACCAGGGAGGGCACCACCAGGGAGGGCACCACCAGGGAGCACCACCAGGGAGCACCACCAGGGAGCACCACCAGGGAGGGCACCACCAGGGAGGGCACCACCAGGGAGCACCACCAGGGAGGGCATCACCAGGGAGGGCACCACCAGGGAGGGCACCACCAGGGAGCACCACCAGGGAGCACCACCAGGGAGCACCACCAGGGAGGGCACCACCAGGGAGCACCACCAGGGAGGGCACCACCAGGGAGCACCACCAGGGAGCACCACCAGGGAGCACCACCAGGGAGGGCACCACCAGGGAGCACCACCAGGGAGCACCACCAGGGAGCACCACCAGGGAGGGCACCACCAAGGAGGGCACCACCAGGGAGGGCACCACCAGGGAGCACCACCAGGGAGGGCACCACCAGGGAGGGCACCACCAGGGAGGGCACCACCAGGGAGGGCACCACCAGGGAGGGCACCACCAGGGAGGGCACCACCAGGGAGGGCACCACCAGGGAGGGCACCACCAGGGAGCACCACCACCAGGGAGCACCACCACCAGGGAGGGCACCACCAGGGAGGGCACCACCAGGGAGGGCACCACCAGGGAGCACCACCAGGGAGGGCACCACCAGGGAGGAGCACCAGCAGGGACGGAGCACCACCAGGGAGGGCACCACCAGGGAGGGCACCACCAGGGAGGGCACCACCAGGGAGGGCACCACCAGGGAGCACCACCAGGGAGCACGGGAAGAAGCTGAGTGGAAATGTTAGAGCGGAGGAGAAAATGTGTGAGAGTTAGCGGAAGCAACAATCAATAGTGCGTTAAGAGGGCGAGGTGGTGGTGTTGGAGGACGACGTGGTGGTGTTGGAGGACGAGGTGGTGGTGTTGGAGGACGAGGTGGTGGTGTTGGAAGACGAGGTGGTGGTGTTGGAGGACGAGGTGGTGGTGTTGGAGGACGAGGTGGTGGTGTTGGAGGACGAGGTGGTGGTGTTGGAGGACGAGGTGGTGGTGTTGGAGGACGAGGTGGTGGTGTTGGAGGACGACGTGGTGGTGTTGGAGGACGAGGTGGTGGTGTTGGAGGACGAGGTGGTGGTGTTGGAGGACGAGGTGGTGGTGGAAGGTAGAGGAGGAGGAGGAGGAGGAATGAATGATGATGGGTATGCATGTGACAGTAAGACATAAAAGAAGTGAGGCACACCTGGAGGTGGTCCAGGGATCAATGCCTCCGCGGCCCGGTGTCTGACCAGGCTTCCTGATTGGTGTTCTGATCAACCACACTGCTAGACGCCGCTGGGCGCAGTTTCGCGTATGAATTCCAGGTTGATCAAGTATACTTTGGAGGGTTGGGACCACTGAGGGCCCAGTCATGGCCCTGTTGAGAGTCGTAGTGAGAACGCCTGCCGCGGGGGCATGATCCTGGGCCTCGCCTCAAGGTAGGCCGTGTTTGAAGGCTCTGGGGCCCTAGATATTTATGGAATTGTTTCTTGAAACGATAAAGTGGCGTTCACACCTACAGCAAAAATAACAGGTTGGATAACAAGAACTTTTGACACAAATGAGGCTACTTTTTAAGACATTAGTGTTCTCTAGGGTGAAATATTGTTACACACTAACAGCTCCATTTAAACTGAAGAAGTTGCCAACCTAGAAGGCGATTTTTTACTGCCTGAATCCACTTGATAATATGTCTAAATTATTGGGACCGCTTAAATTTGTTTTAATCTGTATTCTCTATAGCACACGGGAGATTTAAATTTGTGATTTACTTTTAATGATTTACATTTGGGAAAATATTAGCGGGACTGGTTCCATATCTGCGCAGGGAAATAATGACACGAGACCAGGAGGCATAGCAGGAAATGGAAATTAACCCTGTTCAAAAGCAGAGGTGCAGTAGATACGCCGAGAGAGAACTCTATCAACATCAAGGGCCCAAGACTTTTCAACACTCTTCCTCTAAACATAAGAGGCGTAACAGACCGGCCTCTCACTGTTTTCAAGAGAGAGCTTCATAAACACCACCAAAGGATACCTGTACAATCAGGCTGTGATTCATGTCTGGCTACGAGTCAGCGGGTGCATGCGTGAGCGAGTGGGCACCAAAATAGCCTTACCATTATGCAGTTGATACACTATCACCTGACACTTACACCTTCCTTCCCTTACTACCCCTCATCCCCCACACCCACGCTATCATCTACACCCATGCCCCAACATCTGCTCCCATGCCCCAACATCTGCTCCCATGCCCCAACATCTGCTCCCATGTCCCAACATCTGCTCCCATGCCCCAACATCTGCTCCCATGTCCCAACATCTGCTCCCATGTAGGCCACCTAACCACTTGGTCTGGACGGTAGATCCACGGCCTCGTTTTTTCCCTTCCAAATTACCGCGTAGCGTAGTGGAGGTGGGGTCCCTTGGGGGTTCAAACGTGGGTTCAACATGTATATAAGTGGGATTGGGTGGTTATAAATAGGAGCTGCCTCATATGGGTCAATAGGCCCTCTGCATTTACCATTATTCTTATTTCTCGCTTCATGTAGGTCGGCGTTCAATCCCGACCGCCCAAGTGGTTGGGCACCATTCCTTCCCCCCGTCCCATCCCAAATCTTTATCCTGATCCCTTCAAAGTGCTATATAGTCGGCGTTCAGGGGCTTGGCGTTTTCCCTTGATAGTTCCCTTCCCGTGTAGGCCTGCCACCACGCCCTACCCTGTGTTAGTGGGTGTAGCGGGCCTGGTGGTGGTGGTGGTGGTGGGTGCTGTGGGGCGTGGAAGAGGAAGACGGTCTGGGGTGGCGGCGGCGGCGGCGATCGAGTGGTGTAGTCAGGAATGGCGGGAATATGGGGTCAGACGTTGTTGTTGAGGATTCAGCAGCTCGGAACAAAAGTTCCAACTAGCACAGGCTATGGTGAGCCCGTAGTGGGCCGGGAATGGGAACAAGGTCATGCATTCTGAAAGAGCCATAATTGAGTGCTTCGCCAGATGGTAACGAGGCGTGCACGCACGCACTTGACTACAGGCTAATATACCTTCTGAGCCGTCTTAGGGTATAGGGAAAGTCTCTGTGGCAAAGCTGCAACGGGTTCATGAAAGGAAATTCATGTCTCGGGAAAGAGAGGATGGGCTGACTACATCTTGATTGCCAGAAAGCCTTTGACACTGTACCTGACAGAAGGTTACAGCATTAACTTTGCAAACCCAGCTGGAGTAACTGGTGGCATACAGAACAAGGTGAGAGAATACGTGTTCGACAACAAGAAGAGAACTGTAGTCAGACTGGGAAAGTAAGAACGGAGATAAATTTAGAAGCAAAGTACCAGAGGCGACCATTACTAGGCCCCACAATGATACAAGTGTCTGGTGTAACTGGTGAAGTAGGAGCCTCCATCTTAATGTTTACACATGATGACTAGTAATACAGGTGGGTTACAGTGTGCTCCCACTGGAATTTGACAGTTAACAAATTGCAAGTCGTAACACCACTGAAAAGCAGAACTTGGGAGCTGAAACTCTCCTTGCAAGCAGTTAGCTTCTCTCGCTTTTCCTCACTTACACAGACACAAACATGCAGACAAACGGGTAAAGACAGGCGAATACACATAGTCTAGCCTGATGGTGTGGGGGGGTTGCCGGGCCAAAGTGATCGATGGCCTCAATAAATGGAGCCCCGTGAGGAATGTTACCACCTTGCATTGCCAGTTGTCTGTGGCTTCCACCCTCCGCTCACTCATCCATCTACTCTCCAACTCTCTGATGGAGATCACATCCACACACACACAAATCCTCAGCCTTCACCACGCTCACACTTTAGGTCTCCAGCCGCCGGTTGTAGTGGTCTTCAACGTGCCTTGTCGACCCCCTCTGTCCACCCACCCTTACTCCCTCCCGCTAGTCTTGTCTCTCGTGTTGTCCGGTCAGCTTGCCTCGTGTCTCTCTGCATCTGTCAGTAGACATGTTTGCATGTACAACTACGCCTGTGTACACTCAAAAAGATGAGACTAGACTTGATTTGCAAATTCTTTTCCTATCTGTGTGTTTCACGGCATAGTTATCAACGCTTCGTGTTCTGTAATCAATTTGTACAGGGATATGAATACAGTAAGATATTAATATCCAAATATTTCAGTTCTGTTTATCCAGATTTATATAATATATATTACAAAATGCATACACATTTTTGGAGGGATGTGGGGAGAGGGCGAATGCATGGCGGCTCAAGTACATACTACCTAAATTAGGAATATTGGACATATTAAACAATGAAAATGTTTATCCATGTAGTATATGTAAGTATGGTGGCGTGGGCAGGTGTGTAACTGTGTATGTTGCTGTTACAGGCTTGGCGGGGTTCCCATGTCAGCTGTGGCGCCAGAGACAACACAAGCAGTTCTTTGCTACGCCAAGATGAGGTACTCCGAGATGCCGCGAGACGTATCCTGTGACAGCCTCGCTGCTCTCCGCATTAATGAGGTCAGTCTTGGCTCCGGTTGACCTGCTCAACCAGCAAGTGTCAAGCCGGGCTGTATTGCCACCTCAGGTCATGGGTCACCTCCCGACATTCAATGTTAATATTACATCTCATTTCATAACAGGATTTTAATGTTAATTTGTAAAGGGAATATTAAGGGATTACCCAGTTTGTTTCCTTATGGTTACTCTGTGTAATTAGGATTAAATGGAAGAGATTACAAACAAGTAGGTTGATTGATTGCAAGTAGGTTGATTGATTGCAAGTAGGTTGATTGATTGCAAGTAGGTTGATTGATTGCAAGTAGGTTGATTGATTGATTGATGATTGATTGATCTACAAGAAGCTGAAATAAATTATCGAAGGTTATAGTGGTGTATTAACATTGGGATAATTGCAGTATGGGGATTCACAGGTGTCCCTGATGTGAGTACTTCTTAGTTTATCATGTCTCTGTCATTAATATTTTCAATATGCCTCATTCTGTTGACTCGAAACATTTATCAATAGTGAAAATGTATAGTTCCTGTTGAAATACGGTACTGTAGTGTAGCACTTTGATGATCTTGTTTTGCTTTATTAATTTTACTGTTTTTTTCTACAATATTTTGAGACCACCTCATCATATTGACTTGAAACTTACAGCACTTTGTATATGATAAAACATACTGTATTGTAATTGGGCAGTGTATTCAGCTGGAACCACAAGTCATTTGTTATAGTCCTTTTATGTGACAAACAGTATCTCTTGCCACACTTGTGAAAACAAAATCTTAACAGTGGTAATTAGCATTTCATATTGTATCTGCTCAATATCTGTCTTAGTCTGGATGACCACCAGGTCTAATATTACCTATTCACCCTTTCCCTTAACCAGTTGTTGTCTGTGTTATCACCTGTTTCAAGACGTTTCTAAGAGTAATGTCCACTTTGGCATCCATGGGTCATCCTCTTTTTCAAGGATCCTAAATTACACAGTTAATGTCCCCGTGGTTAAAATCACAGAGTACTCGGAGCTTGATCTACTTGTCACCTTTACTGACCTTTCTATGGTCTTCAGACTATATTGGGCTTCCTGGTGCTAGTGAGGGCATATACATGACTACCATCACTATCCTTTTGTCTACTTTTGTTACCATGCACATGATCAGTCCTATGGATTAGCTACATTTACCTGAAACATATCTTTAGTACGTTATTGCATTTTCAATAACAATGCAGTCTCCTTCCACCCCTGTTTCTTCTCTCTGATCACTTTATAGCCTCTTAGATTACATCCTATGTTATTTGTAAAAGTTTTATTTCTATGATTGGAAATGTTGTGTGCCTGCATTTAATGTACCCTCTCCTGGAGTTTCCCTGTCATATGTCATGCCATCTGCATTCATGTACTATTTGTTACTATTGAAGTGATATCTCTATAACCCTATATCTCGATACAGTATTTCTCTATACAGTACAGAAACCTGTATACCAGCTGATTAAGGACTGAGAGGCAGGACCAAAGGGCTCAAGCTCGACCCTTGCAAACACATTTAGCTGATTACCCAAGACAGATCTTACCAATACTAACTTTAAAAAAAAAATATTATTTTTGTATACTGTATTACACTGTATTGTTTCCTGTGACAAGGAAAGAATTTACATATTTTTTGTAGGTTTTCATACTTTTTGTTAAATGTGTGGATTGGACTGATTATTAAAAAATTATAATTATGTTGTCTGGAGCTAAAAAATGAGAATTACCATAGACCTTAAAATATGCTGTGTTTTATTTGACTAAAATAGAGTATTGTTGCATGGGCAGTATGTTTCTATACTGTACTTTGGTGTAGTGTGCAAGACAGTTGGCTTTGCTTATACTGTACATGTACTGTAACACTAATAATATAATGTGTTGCATATTCTTCCATTTAAAGCAAGAATTTTATTAATATTCTATTTTGCAAATTGAAGCAAAATTTTTACATGTTATATTTTTGTGTAAACAGTTTAGAAAATCTTGATAAAGTTTGTATTTTGATATAATTGCAAACACCTTGCTAACAAATGCCCTATTTTGTATTATTTTATTGCCCCCCCATATGTGCAGTATTCTTCTATATGTGTGATGTTTGTTATGCACGAGTCGAGGGTGTTGTGGCTATGTGTAAAGCTGTGATATTTGTTATTGCTGTGTGATACATCCAGTTTCCTTCCGACAGTTTTATAGGTAGTTGGCAATTCTACAATCAACTCCATTCAAGAAGTTGATTCCGTTTAGGTCATGGACCCCCATAAAAAGTCTCGAGCCAGAAAATGGTGCTGAGAAGAATGCCTCCTTCACTTGTATTTTTGCCTCTCTTAAATATATTGGAGAAGAAGTAATTATATACATAAATCATGTAATGGTCCCATTCGTGCTTAGCTTGTTTATCAATTTTCAGTCATTATTTTTTTGTTAGATGTTTGATGGTGTGAGAGACTTCACTGCATGACCCACCACACCAGCTTGTCGTTGATACGGAGTTGCCTGAGGGGTTTCTCACATAGTATTTTTACACGTTCAGTTATCAGAGCTGTGATGTAGATAATTGCTTGCTCTTGTTTTACTGCTTTTAAATTACTTCTGCATATTTTTTGTCATTTACTATTGGTAAACATTGGTGTGCAATATTTTCACTTAGGTTCTCAGTGGTCATGTTTGTCTGTAAGCTCTTTTTAACTTCTCTTTTCAAATTGCCTTCCCTGCATGCAAAGCTGGGTGATGAGGGCAACTATATTCCAGCCTTGCAGTGTGGTGCAATGTTCAACATTCTAACCATCTCTGCAATGTTAAATGTATAACTTCCAAATCTTACCAGCAATAGCTTATAGCATTGTTTTGTTTTAAATCTGTGTATAGGTGTGAATCTGTGTTATTGTAAAGTACAGTAATTGGTAATTCTGGCTCACTTTAAATTGTATATAGAACATGTGTGACTTGTTCATACTGAACATGTGTGTGTGTGTGTGGTTCATACTAGTCCCTAGTAAGTATCATCAAGGCAAGTGAGAGGACCTTAAACAAGCCGCCGGCTTCCTGTCCTCGTCGAGGCCACTAGTCTACGTAAATGGGTAAATACTGAACATGTGTGACTGGTGATTAGTTCTGTACTTACCTCGGTTGCACATGAATCATGATATATATTTGTTAAGTAGTTCTTACTGCCTATTTGTGTTGGGTGTACTTGCTGACAAGGTAGGTGTAGTGCATATTGGATTTACTAGATTATGTGAGGGGGTGTTGTGTGTGCTGGGGTATGAGGGGTGTTGTCTGAGGGGGTGTTGTCTGTGCTGGGGAATGATGGTGTAGTGTGAGGAGTGTTGTGTGTGCTGGGGGATGAGGGGTGTAGTGTGAGGGATGTTGTGTGTGCTGGGGGATGAGGGGTGTAGTGTGAGGGGTGTTGTGTGTGCTGGGGGATAAGGGGTGTAGTGTGTGCTGGGGGATGAGGTGGGAGTTGTGAGAGTGGTTGAATAACAAATGCATCATTAAGGTCAGTTGTGGTATATTATGTTAAGTGATAACTTTGAGGAAGTCATTGTTTTCTTATGGACCTGATGAATTGCTTCCATCATGTGAATGCTGCAACTTTTTCAATTAAGCACCCACAGAACACATCACAAGATATATTTGTTCACTGTGCACTCTGCAATAATTGAGTATGTCTTGCTGGTTTGTTCATATCCAGCAGATGAATGAATTACAATACTGAATTATTATTATTCCTCTTACAATATTATTATTCCTGTCTTACATTACTACTATTACTATTATTTATATTATGAGTGAATGTATTTGTTTGTAGTGTTTAGAACAGTTGACAGAGCACTGCACACCTGGTCTGAAGCAGCAGGAGAGGTTGTGGGGTAGCTGGTGAAGTGTTGGTGTTCATTTCCCTCAGATCATATAGTGTATCCTAATTAATAGATGGGTGTTATAGATTTTTATAATATATCCAATCTTCTATCACAATACACTTTTGTATTGTTCCTCTTAACCCTTAAACTGTGCAAAACCTCATATGATGTGTGACATTGAACTCGGTTTTTTAAATTTTCTAAAACTCTTTCAAATGTTTTGTGAATAATCTACTAGACAAATGCTCCAACTTTGTCTAAATGTTAGTTAATGTTGTCTAAAAGTTAGTTTATTATTCTCGTACATTATTACACACCTGTCTGGTGTATGGTGGTGCTCGCATACACACCTGGCTGGTGTATGGTGGTGCTCGCATACACACCTGGCTGGTGTATGGTGGTGCTCACATGCACACCTGGCTGGTGTATGGTGGTGCTCGCATACACACCTGGCTGGTGTATGGTGGTGCTCGCATGCACACCTGGCTGGTGTATGGTGGTGCTCGCATACACACCTGGCTGGTGTATGGTGGTGCTCGCATGCATACCTGGCTGGTGTATGGTGGTGCTCACATACACACCTGGCTGGTGTATGGTGGTGCTCACATGCACACCTGGCTGGTGGATGGTGGTGCTCACATACACACCTGGCTGGTGTATGGTGGTGCTCACATACACACCTGGCTGGTGTATGGTGGTGCTCACATACACACCTGGCTGGTGTATGGTGGTGCTCACATACACACCTGGCTGGTGTATGGTGGTGCTCACATACACACCTGGCTGGTGTATGGTGGTGCTCACATGCACACCTGGCTGGTGGATGGTGGTGCTCACATACACACCTGGCTGGTGGATGGTGGTGCTCACATGCACACCTGGCTGGTGGATGGTGGTGCTCACATGCACACCTGGCTGGTGTAGTGTATTTAAACAATATAATTGTAGTAGGGAGCACAATTTTTTTTATAATGCTGTAGAGAAACATGAAGATGAGAGCAGACATATTTTGTAGGCAAAACATCACCTTCATATGATGTTTTCTCATCTTGGCATTTCTCTACAGTATAACATTGCTATTATTGTCAGTATGGCAGTAGCTGTACATGAGTCATGCAGCTAGACCATAGTTAGTGCTGCAGGGTTAAGTCATGCGTGTCTGCTTCACTACAACTTGTATGTAGGTAACATTATTAACCAACTGAATGAAGCTCAGATGTTTGGTGTCATGAATTTGTTTGTAAAGAAAAGAAGTTAATGTATTGAGTTTTATCCACCATGAACGTTGGATCACACCTTTCTTGAGTAACGAGTGTGAAGTGTGACGAAAACCAACCAGTCCTTTTCGTGCACCCAACTCTCACTGTTCACCTGTATCTGCCCTCTTGTGAAGGTGTGAGGTTGCAGTGTAGAGGAGCAACCTGTTCGCTTACAAATTATGTCTGAATTTGGCCGTTATCTGTACAGCCGAAAATGGACGTAATTTAAAAATGAAAAAATTTAAAATTAATTTGTGATTTTTTCTAAAACAATAAGTTAAGGGTCCTCTGGTAGGTTAGGAGGGCAGGAAATTCTCTTAGTTTCAAAACGTCATGAAAAACGTTAATTGAAAGTTTCCTCTCCAAACCTTTCCGAGTAAGTCGGCGGAATCAAACAGAAAACGGGACAGTACATCACTTTCGTGAGCTGATTTAATTTCAAATTACGTCCATTACGGCCATAGTGCGCATACGAGCGAAAAGTGACATTATTTTTAAGAGGACGAGTTGGGAGGAGTACGTTCATCGTGACTGCCTGTCCATGTGGCAGTGTGTGACCTCCACGCATTACTGCACATTTTGATGTTTTATCAGCCAGTAATTTAAGATGAAAGTCTCTTGATACAATTTGTGTGTGGGAGTTGCTGGACTTATTAGTCCAGCAACCAGTCCAGTCATTATTATATAGTCCAGAGTATGTAGAAAGTTTATCTGTGTCCATATTTCTTGATGCTTCTATATTGGAGCGGAGTCTTAAGGTGGGTACATTTCTATGTATGTTGTACCTAATAGCCAGAATGTAGTACCTCGCCTACGTCAAGCAAGCCTGCTATCGCTGTATCTATCGATGATTTTCTAAAGTTTACTAGGATTTCTCTGGCGATGGTTTGGTTGTGGGAAGAGATAAAATGTTCCTTAATGGAGCCCTGTTGCTTATGCATCGTTAAACGTAGATAAGAGATTTACCTCCAACAAGTGAAAAGAAATGTACGAAAGATTGAGAAAATTCGTGTTAGAATTAGCAATCTTACATTTTAGGTCATATTAGTAATTACTGTCTACAGGAAGGACTGCTACTCTCTAAATACTACTACTATTATATATATATATATATATATATATATATATATATATATATATATATATATATATATATATATATATATATATATATATATATATATACATATAGTATATGCAAACAAGCTTGAATGGTCCCCAAGCTAGTATGCAACTGAATACTCCGCACCCCAGAAGGATTCGAACCCAGACGTACCTGGTACTTTAACCACTTGACCACCATGACTGTACAAAAGTCATTAGTAGCCGAAGCTATATCCCCAACGACCCGACAGCACATGGTGGTATGCTTGGGCATAGATATTTCATCAAATCATCTCACATCAGTATTTCAGTTGCATATTGGCTTGGGGACCATTCAAGCTTGTTCGTATTTGTGTTGCTCACATGGCCCCACAAAGTGAGGTGATTCGATGAAATATCTATGCCCAAGCTTACCACCAAGTGCTGTCCGGTCATTGCGGATATAGTTTCGCCTACCAATGACTTTTGTACAGTCACTGTGGTCGAGTGGTTAAAATAACAGGTATGCCAAGGTGAATAGTGCTCCTGGCTGTCTGAGTTCGAATCCTTCTGGGGTGTGGAGTTTTCAGTTTATATATATATAATATATATATATATATATATATATATATATATATATATATATATATATATATATATATATATATATATATATATATATATATATATATATATATATATATATATATATATATATATATATAGTCGTACCTAGTAGCCAGAACTCACTTCTCAGCCTACTATGCAAGGCCTGATTTGCCTAATAAGCCAAGTTTTCATGAATTAATTGTTTTTCGACAACCTAACCTACCTATAACCTAACCTAACTTTTTCGGCTATATAACCTATAAAGATATATATATATATATATATATATTAATTCATATATATATATATATATATATATATATACCTATTTTTCTGCTACCTAACCTAACCTAAACTATAAAGATAGGTTAGGTAGGGTTGGTTAGGTTCGGTCATATATCTACATTAATTTTAACTCCAATAAAAAAAATTGACCTCATACATAATGAAATGGGTAGCTTTATCATTTCATAAGAAAAAAATTTGAGAAAATATATTTATTCAGGAAAACTTGGCTTATTAGGCAAATCGGGCCTTGCATAGTAGGCTGAGAAGTGCGTTCTGGCTACTAGGTACGACATATATATATATATATATATATATATATATATATATATATATATATATATATATATATATATATATATATATATATATATATATATATAATATACCGTACAGTATATAATATAATATGCATGAAAATGTGAAATTTACTATTGATGTCTTATTTAATTATGGATCTCTAGGTATTTTATTTTTACTTGCAAGATTTCAAATTATTTTTCAGAGTGTGATGGACAGTGATGAGGAAGATGAGCGCAGCAGTGGTTGTGGGGGCGGGAGGGGTATGGCTATGCCAATGTGTGCTCGTGGTACCTCTCCCCCTTCTTCTGTGTACCGTAAGGTAGTTCAAGAGACGAACTACGACTCCCACGACAGCATGAAGGCACTTACTAAAGCAGCGTACAGTTATGGGTCAGTCCAAAATAAAATACAGTAGTTGTTGCTTTATACTGTACTTATTATCGGAGAAATTTCCAACCCATTTTCAGAATACTGAATGTTTATGCGCTCATACAGAATCTTTCCACTTAAAAATCCAAGTTTTAGGTACTTAATTGTTTAATGAACTATATGCCATAAAGCCTATATGAGTACTGTACAATCTGCCCTGCCACTGATATTGTGTAGCAAAAACATTACTCTGCCCTCTTTTGTTAAGGATTGGAGATGGAAATGTGTACTTGTTGGTGAATGATGTGTATTAGTGGGTGAATGATCTATACTGGAAGGTGAATGATCTAGTCTGATGGATCTATTCAGAATGATCTATTCTGATGGACGTGGGCGCCTGACAGCTGAGTGGACAGCGCTTCGGATTCGTAGTCTTGAGGTTCCGGGTTTGATCCCCGGTGGAGGTGGAGACAAATGGGCAAAATGTTTCTTTCACCCTGATGCCCCTGTTACCTAGCAGTAAATAGGTACCTGGAAGTTAGACAGCTGCTACGGGCTGCTTCCTGGGAGGTGTGTAACAAAAAGGAGGCCTGGTCGAGGACCGGGCCGCGGGGACGCTAAGTCCTAAAGTCATCTCAAGATAACCTCAAGATGGATGAATGATCAGTACTGGTAGATGAAAGATCTATATTGGTAGGTGAATGAACTACACAAATGGGTGAATAATTGATACAGATGGATGAATAATTGATACTGGTGGGTGAATACAATGTTTTGTATGTACTGTACCTCTTTGTTTATATGATTAAACCAATTTAATTGCAATAACTAGATTATTCATTATAAATTGGCAGTCCCAATTTTAATTATATTTGTATCAGTTCTGAAAATTATTATGAATCAATTTCAGAACCCTTCCCAGAATTCACAGCCACAAATCTGCCAGCTTACCAGCCAGAGGGAAGGATTCAGACAATCCACCAGTGTTGGATCTGTTGAGAGTAGTGCCCGAAGATCTTGCAACCCAGATAACACGCATGGACGTTCCAGTTTTCAAGTACGGTACATTGTTAATAATTGTTGAAAACCTGTATGACTATCTTAGCTACCCACATCTTGATATGGGTAACTTGATATAGGTAACTTGATATACCCATATCAAGATATGGGTAACTTTAAAAGCTTTGTATGATATTGAAATAGGTCAGGAGTCATTGCATTAGACAAACCGGGGCTAGAAAAGCCGGGCAAAGAGCAAGAGCTCGATCTTGCAGCCACAAATGGGTAAGTATATACACACAAAGAAAAGATATTTGACATTCAGTACCTTCCTCCCTTGGGAAACGGGGACCATGTCCTGTTGGAAATTAGATATGTTATGCAATGTAATCTAGAAGAGATATTACTGTAAAGATACAGTGGTACCTCCATTTACGAATTTAAATCCTTTCCCAGAGACAGGTCGTAACTTGAAACGATTTTTCCCACAAGAAATAATTTAAATTGAATTAATCTGTTCCACACTCTCAAAAATATTAACTTCAAAATACATTTCATACATAATACACACACACATATTTTGTACTATAGTATGTACAAGTTATAGCTTACCTTTATTGAGGACTCTTGTTGGCATATGGAAGACGGTGAGGAGGGGGTGGCGGGGGGGGGGGGAGGAGAGGTGTTACTGTTTGGAAGGGGAGTCCCCTTCCATTATAACATCAGGCAGTGATGTCTTCGCTGGGGTACTCTTTCTCCTACGTTTTGCAGTCATATCACTAGAAGCACAAGTAGTCAAATTTTCCTACGAAATTGGGGTTGTAACTCGAAAAATTCGTAAGTAGGGGCATTCGTAAGTCGAGGTTCCACTGTATTATAGAACATGTATAAATGTATATTTTATGCCAAATTCATTTAAATTTGATTTTATGTATAAATAAATTTGAATGCTTATCTTCATAATGGATTATATATCCTTACTAGTGAGTTAGGACTGACAGTAAGTAGAACAGAATTTATTTGTTTCATCCAGAGTTTTAATTTTTTAAGGTCAGAATAATGAGGAGCCCACTTTACATCTCAGTGACTAGTTGAACTCTGTTCAAGTACTACTGTTCATGGATAAAGATTAGTCAAGTAAATTATTTAACTAATGATTTAGCTGTATGGTAATATTTATTTTGCTGTAGTGTTGTTAAATTTTTCATCAGATGAAAATAATACCAAAGATTGATTTCATCATTATCTGTTTATCAAATTTTGTAAACATCTTGAATTACCAATTGTCTAAGATATTGTTTGCCTTGAAAGTTGCCTAATTAACAGGTTTGTGGGAAATTTACACAGATCCATCACCCCAGAAGAGCTGACCTCTTGTGGTTGGACAAAAAAGGACAAGCTAAAATCTGCTCCAAATGTTGTAGAGTTTACCCGCAGATTTAACCACGTAAGTTCTCTCTTTAAGAAATGTATTTTGTATGTTCAGTAAATGTGCATGTGTGTGTGTGTGCGCGCGCATTCAGTGTCCATGATTGTTTACATTGATGACTGTATTACCCACTTGTTAAAGCCAGATGGTCAAACTAATGTCGTTAAAAATCATCCATTTACCAATTGATTTCATCTTGATTGGTTTACTTTTAGTTCAAAAACAGCTGGTCGGCTGAGCGGACAGCACACTGGACTTGTGATCATGTGGTCCCAGGTTCGATCCCGGGCGCCGGCGAGAAACAATGGGCAGAGTTTCTTTCACCCTATGCCCCTGTTACCTAGCAGTGAAATAGGTACCTGGGTGTTAGCCAGCTGTCACGGGCTGCTTCCTGGGGGTGGAGGCCTGGTCGAGGACCGGGCCGCGGGGACACTAAAAAGCCCCGAAATCATCTCAAGATAACAACAAAGTTGAAAGTATTCTTCAACTAAAATTAGTTACCAAATCCAATGTTGTATTAGTCTGGCAGGTTTGGTTCCTCAGCCAGCGGGTAATGAACATAAAGCCCGTCGGACTAGAGAGAGAATCCAAATTACTAGTACCAAAAAAACTCTTTAGTGTGTGCAAAATGTGAGGGATTTGCAATGAAAATGAAGCTAAATTTGTCTAAATATCTAGGGAGCCATAGAAATGGGTCAGTTGGTTGAATTGTGTGATACAGTATACATAATGTGTGTTATAGGATTGAAAAGGTTGATAGGTTATAGAGACTTGATATGGGACAGAACTTTGATAAGGAATAGAGAATTTGACATGGGATGAACACAGACACAAGAAGGAAAATATAGAAATATAGAATGCTCATTGCTTTAGAATTTTCTATAGAAATATAGAATGAATACAGTACAACTTGTGATATTATAGTGCTTTGATGGAGGGTTTGGTCAGATGGAGCAGAGGCTAATGGTAACATTAAATTACCGTACTGTGTGTTGATTTTTTGTTATTAATATTGTACATGGAAATACAGTATGGAATGCTGATGAAGGCATTGATGCATGATGAGTGTTGAATCAGTTGAAAAAGAGTACAGTAATTTATTAATTGTGTGTGGATAAATGCAAGTTATATATGCAGTGGCTGATGTGGAAACAATAATTCAAGTATCTGGAGGGTTGTCTGATCACATGGTAGTGTTGTGTAAAGTACGACAGTGGTAAATGGGTGATGGTATCCTGCAAGACCTCGGGGGGTACAAGAGTTAAAGTTGAGAAGTTCAGCAAGAGAGAGCTGGTGAATGAGTGCAAAAGAAGAGTTGACAGATGTCATAATGCACACTTCAGGCAGTACTGCTGGTACATTTGTGCACACACAGGGTAGTTTTCTGGTACATTCGCGTACTACCATGATTGTGCTGCTGGTGTATTTGTGCTCATTTTTGCTGCAAGAACATTGGCTCCCATCCATTATACTGGTATGGTCCATCTAATTATCCAAAGCTACCCAAATTTACTCAAAGCTCCCCAAAGCTTCTTAGTATTACATAAGTAATGAAGATATATGATATATTTACTCGCTATAATGTTGGTGTTGAATGTAGAACTTGAAAAAACATATAATTCAAAACATAGAATGCTAGCCTAACCTGGTGAAACTATTATTGGTTTTATTGTTTGTCCAATATTATTATTATTTATTACAGTGGTACAGTACCTCGGAATACGAGTGTCCCTGTATATGAGTTTTTCGGAATACGAACAGGATTTGCTCAGAAAATTTGCCTCGGAACACGAGGGTGTTGATACACGTACAGGCCGACTAGCGCGTGGTGGCACGGCGATCGCGCCTCAGTTTACCAGTGTCTCTCGCCCAGTGACTATCCCGCCTGAATTCTTCACAAGGATTTACAGTTTTTTGTCAGTTTTTTGGCCATTTGAACATAAAAGTAATTATTATGTATATATTGCCATAGGTCTCAAGAAAACCATTGGTAAGGTTCAACCTAAGAAAATAGCTGTGAGTAGAGGCAGTAGAGGATGTCCCTTCTTGATTAAGAAAATGTGTGAAGTATGGGAAGAACTGCAAAGTTTTGTTGAAAAAACTCACCCAGATAAAGCTGTAGTAGGCTGTTGTATTGACCTTTTAAATGACAATGTGATATCTGACTACAGACAAGTGTTAAAATGTATGGAAAAACAACTGTCTTTAGACAGATTCTTAGTAAGACAAGCAAGTCCTAGTGGTATGCAGGCAAAATATGCCAGAGAGTGCACCCCAAAGAGGTCCTCACTGCCTGATGTTATAATGGAAGGGGACTCCCCTTCCAAACAGTAACACCTCTCCTCCTCCCCCTCTTCACCATCTTCCATACGTCAACAGGAGTCATCAGCAAGGGTAAGTAATAACTTGAACATAGTTTTGTAGGTTTATTTAGATGAATTAGGTATAAAATTTAGTTTGAAGTGAGGTTTTTAGGTAGTCAGGAACGGATTAATTCATTTCCCATTATTTCTTATGGGGAAATTAGCTTCGGATTACGAGTTTTCAGAATACGAGCTGTCTCCAGGAACGGATTAAACTCTTAAACCGAGGTACCACTGTATTATTATTATGTAATTTATGTAATTAGTTTTTTAAATATTCAAGTATTAAAATTTATAAGCACTTAATGAGTAACGTAGGAGTCACTAGACACAAGGGTCATCAGATATTAAACAACCTTGGATTAACTACGTTATTATAATGTTGACCAAACCACACACACTAGAAAGTGAAGGGACGACGACGTTTCGGTTCATACTGGACCATTCTCAAATCGATTGTGATCGTCATTCTCACAATCGACTTGAGAATGGTCCAGGACGGACCGAAACGTTGTCGTCCCTTTACTTTCTAGTGTGTGGTTTGGTAAACATATTTCAGCCATGTTATTGTGATTCTTCGTCTGCATGTTATTATAAATAAAGACAAATTTAAAAATGCAACATTTATTATAAAAAATTATACAGTATTTACAGAACCTCTGTTGCACATGTTGCTTGAGATTGTTCAACGAGACCACACACATCTCTTCCTGCTCGTTTCTAACACTTTTTTTTATTTAATCAAAATATGGTTTAAAGATTTTCCACTGTGCAATAGCAATTATACTGTATGTTATAGTTAAAATAATAATATTTATTAGCCAGATTAAAGGGTTCACAGAATATATTGGTACTGACATATTCTTTAGTGTGGAACACATTTGTAATGTAAAAATTTTCCACTACACGACAGTATATAATTTCTTGTCCACAGGTGAGTTTCTGGGTAGTACGAGAAGTTTTGAATGCTGGTGGTATTAAGCATCGAGCAGAGATGATGGGACACTTCATCAAGGTGGCCAAGAAGCTCAATGAACTTCACAATTTCCATTCTCAATTTGCAATTGTTAGTGCCCTACAGTCTGCGCCTATATATAGGTACGAGTTATTCTGCCATCATAAATACCTGTAGTTCATAATTGCTAAAGCATATATTTTAAATCTTTGACAATTGTGTTGTATTGCTTGGGTGATGAGTTCAACAGTTTCAAGCATTGAATCACAGTATTGTACTGTATTAGTGCAGTAGTTGAGTAATATCTTTTAGTACAGTAGAAGATGTAAAGAGGATGAGCAACTGTGGGTAAAGGCACAGTGGGAGGGGCATACATGGTGGAGACACAGTGGGAGGGGCATACATGGTGGAGGCACAGTGGGAGGGGCATACATGGTGGGAGGCACAGTGGGAGGGGCATACATGGTGGAGGCACAGTGGGAGGGGCATACATGGTGGAGGCACAGTGGAGGCACAGTGGGAGGGGCATACATGGTGGAGGCACAGTGGGAGGGGCATACATGGTGGGAGGCACAGTGGGAGGGGCATACATGGTGGAGGCACAGTGGGAGGGGCATGGTGGGAGGCATGGGAGGGGCATGGTGGAGGCACAGTGGGAGGGGCATACATGGTGGGAGGGGGAGGGGCATACATGGTGGAGGCACAGTGGGAGGGGCATACATGGTGGAGGCACAGTGGGAGGGGCATACATGGTGGGAGGCACAGTGGGAGGGGCATACATGGTGGGAGGCACAGTGGGAGGGGCATACATGGTGGAGGCACAGTGGGAGGGGCATACATGGTGGGAGGCACAGTGGGAGGGGCATACATGGTGGAGGCACAGTGGGAGGGGCATACATGGTGGGAGGCACAGTGGGAGGGGCATACATGGTGGAGACACAGTGGGAGGGGCATACATGGTGGAGGCACAGTGGGAGGGGCATACATGGTGGGAGGCACAGTGGGAGGGGCATACATGGTGGAGACACAGTGGGAGGGGCATACATGGTGGAGGCACAGTGGGAGGGGCATACATGGTGGGAGACACAGTGGGAGGGGCATACATGGTGGAGACACAGTGGGAGGGGCATACATGGTGGAGGCACAGTGGGAGGGGCATACATGGTGGGAGGCACAGTGGGAGGGGCATACATGGTGGAGGCACAGTGGGAGGGGCATACATGGTGGGAGGCACAGTGGGAGGGGCATACATGGTGGAGACACAGTGGGAGGGGCATACATGGTGGAGGCACAGTGGGAGGGGCATACATGGTGGAGGCACAGTGGGAGGGGCATACATGGTGGAGACACAGTGGGAGGGGCATACATGGTGGAGGCACAGTGGGAGGGGCATACATGGTGGGAGGCACAGTGGGAGGGGCATACATGGTGGAGGCACAGTGGAAGGGCATACATGGTGGAGGCACAGTGGGAGGGGCATACATGGTGGAGGCACAGTGGAAGGGCATACATGGTGGAGGCACAGTGGGAGGGGCATACATGGTGGAGGCACAGTGGAAGGGGCATACATGGAGGCACAGTGGGAAGGGCATACATGGAGGCACCATGTATGCCCCTCATGCCCCACCATGGTATGCCTCACCATGACACAGGGAAGGGCAGAGAGGGAAGGGTAGATGTGGAGGAGTAAAGAGGCGGATGTGGCCACAAGGAGGAAGGGAAAATGTTGCACGGGACACAGGGAGAGGAATAGTGGAGCAGAAGACAAGCGAGTACTCTCGCATAACCACATATAAAGGAAAAGAACACAGACAGCATTTTCACATTGAAAGGGGAAACAGGATAAGACGACATTAGAGGAAGCTGGAAACACAAATGAACTAGAGTGAAGTAAGAAAACACTCGTACATAACGAGGCTGGTCAATAAGTGGAATGCGCTGCAAGTAGTAGTAGTAGTGTAAGCCAGCTTCACATATAGCTTTGAGAATACATATGAAGGTCAATAAATTAAATACTGCAGGCACAGATTGTAGGAAGGCAAGACTTGTAGACATCAATTAGTAAGCAGAATTTGGAGAGGGTACAAGAGACTAAAAGGTTTCATGAATGAACTGTAAAAATGAATGGTTGCCATTAACTTTTCTGGGAGTTTATTTGTGTACCTTGTAAACTGGAAAAGGATTTGTTCATCCTGACTTGCTGTGTGTGGGTTTTGGGAGCAAACAAGCATGACCAGCAGCAAAGCTTTGATCTGCTCCATTTGGTTTGGAAATGAAGTACTGATAGCAGAAAAGTAGATTCTTACATTCAATAAATATGGAGCCTACAGTATTAATTTAGTAAATAGTTTATGACCAGGGCCTTTACAAATTTTTTATTATTATTATGTACTTGTGATAGTTTTTTTTATCCAAAATAATCTTATGTTTTATGAAAAGTGAATTTATGCTCAAGTCACTTGGCTGCTTCCCATGATAAGTTACTCTTGGCTCAGCTGAAACATGTATTTGAGCCTAGAATTTATGAGATTTGTGGTGTTGGCACCTGACTTGTATGCAAAGGTATTTGTACTGTGATACTTTTTTGAACATTTGCCACATCCGTATTGGATTTGTTATTTTGCTCACTCCATTAATACTGAGGATAATATTTATTACTTTAAAGAATTCATGTACAGTATATCAATAATTTTCTGGGGGAAGCCCCGTCGGCTTCCCAGACCTTATCCAGGCTGATATGCTAATGTCAGACTTTGGCATCAGTCATGTGTATGGAGTTCTGTGAACCTACCGGGAATCACGAGCCAGAACCTGGCCCCCTCAGAGAGGCATGAGAAGCAATGGCCTATAAAAAAACCCGTGTGGTTGGAAGCATTCTATGTCTGCCATCGACCAGGTCAAGCACCCAGAAAGGTAAGCATCTCAAAACAAACCTCTATTCAGGTGAAAATTGCTACCAAAAGCCAAAAAAGTGGATAGAACTCCCTAAAAAAAAAAAAAAAAGAAACAAGCAAACGAGCATGACATCACATGTCACCTAGCCACTGTCTGTGCAGCTCCCCCCTTCCCGGGAGGGGGAAGGGGGAGCCCCAGACCCTTGTGTTGGCTATCCACCCTTCAGTTCCAAGGCTGGATGTCAAAAAACAGGAAAAAAACCGCTGACCAGAGGGAGGGAGGGATGCTGGGAGCCTCCGGGGTCTCACCCAGAAAATGGCGTTTCATTACATTCAACGCTAGTTTTTTAGTTCTTAAGTGAACTAAAAATATACTTTATTTGAAAAAAAAGTAATAACACTGAGATAGTATTTTTCTTACAGATTAAATAAGACTTGGGCAGCCCTCTCTCGAAAGGACCGCCAACACTTTGATCGAATGTCAGAGCTCTTCAGTGACAAGAACAACTGGGAGCAGCTGCGGAGTCATGTCAATAGTCTTAAACTCCCTATGATTCCTTACCTCGGTAAATAACACTAGTCATCCCAGCCTTTTTTCCATCATTGGTAGTGGTAGAGCTTTCCATATAATTTTGTATTGAATTTTATTAGAAAACCAGGAGTCATCATGAAGAGGATTGGAACCAGCACACTTAGTACTCCCAAGCCCACGCCCTAGACTGCTACACCTTAACCACTACACATCGACCGCTACACCTCAACCGCTACACCTCAACCGCTACGCCTCAACTGCTACGCCTCGACCGCTACACCTTGACATGGCCAAAACCTGGGATTCCACCGAATCCTTTAGGTATCCTGAGGCTTCCACTGAAGCCCAATCCGGGTTTCTCACATTGCCCCCAATTCACTCTGGCTATGGTCCCAGGTAGCAATGCTTTTGAGCATGTCTTGGTGTGGTGTAGGACACGGGCTCTGGAGTACCAAGTGTGTGATAGTCTTGGGCATCACAGCTCCTAATGATTCCTCCTAATCCTCCTCACAGCTCCTACCGATTTTCTCATTGATACACCTCATTAATGTGATTTCATTGTGCATTGAGTTTTATTTTATGTATTCAGTATATATTAAGATTCTGGGTGGAATTATTTGACCACAGTCTTTCAGTAACATTTCATTTGATAAATTGGGTCGCTTTCTTAATAATAAAGAATTGGTCTTCCCATTGTCTCGCAGGTCTCTTTCTAACTGACTTGGTGTACATTGACATGGCCCATCCTCATTTTGGAGGCTTGGAGTCTGAACAGCGCCAATTAAAAATGAACAACATTCTTCGGGTATTAGCAGATTATCAACAGTCAGATTACTCGGCACTTCCTCATCTGCAGCACGTTCAGGCATACTTGGCCTCTGTCAGATACATTGAGGAGCTGCAAAAGTTTGTCGAAGATGATCATTACAAGTATGTTGTAAGGATATATTTACTTTTTTTTCTTCCAGTGTCTGAGTTATTTTGCTTTTTGTAAATCCCATGTCTGTTTTCCCATGAATTCTTTTTTGTCTTGGTAGCAAATTTAAACCTGTACTGTATTGTAGAAGAAGTACTCGGGAAAAATAAGTTACTTTTGTCACAGTGTCATCACTGTTTTTGTCAACAATGAACGTGATAGTGATGATGATTATATCATCATCGTCATCAATATCACATTTATCATTTCAAATTTGGTGGGGAGATATTTGTCCAGCAAAGATTGGAGAGCAGTTTATAAAAAATCAATTAAATATGTTTAATATGACATGCATCTTTTCATTATATCTCACACTGCACATCATCATGGAGGAAGAACACACTACACTAAGTTCCTCAGAGTAGGAGTTAAGTGGACTGATTCTGACACTAGACTTGTGCAGTGCAAAAATGGTAGTGTGTGGTAGAGTAGCATCATCTTCACCGTGATCATGTTCAGTGTATTAGGTACTGTATACTGAATGGACCAGTGTCATTTCTATGATCTTTAACTAATTCTTTTTCTGTGCCGCTTTTCTGTCTTTTCTGGCCAGTTAACTCCTCACCCTAATAATAAATTCTTATTATTAGGGAAAGTTAACTCATTCCTCCTAATAATAAAGATGAACCTGAAAATTATTAAAATGAAATACTGTAGTAAAGTTGAATAATCATAAAACAAGATTTATTAATAGTTTTGCATAGATTTGAAATAGTTTTGATCAGGAAATATATCTGTAACCTCCACACACATTCATAATATTTTGTCATTGTTAAACGTTTTGTGTAGTTTCGTAGGAAGTATGTAAGATTTGTACAGAGCAGCTCAATATTGCCAGGTTAAAGCTTAGTCATTTAGTCTTGGTTTTAGTGTGTATCTAATCTGCTCATAAAGCTGACTCTTCGTTCACTTGAAGAGGGTAGCTGACCTGTATTCAGACTAATACCACCAATCTCTGTAACATTTATACTGACAAATTTATTTTATAACTTTTGCTCACTGTGGCAGGTTGTCCCTTCAGTTGGAGCCCAATACCCCAAGCAGCAGCCACAGTGCCAGTAAAGACAGCGTTGCCGATGCTGCTGGAGGGGTCAGCTCTCTAAATGTTTCTCCATCTGCTCGCATGGGAGCTGGAAGACCTCCAGCTCCACCACCTACATATTCCTGCCCGACTCATGGCCAACAGACAAAATTTGTTCCCACTCACCGTAAAGCTCGTAGTTTAGGAACTAAGTAAGTTTGGCATGTTTTTTGCCCATTGACTCAGTGTTTTTTTATTACATAATTTATACTTTCACTTCTTATATAGTCTTATTCAGTAATATCACTGTAATGTTTTGAATTTTTTTACTTCAAATATTTTCACTTAAAAGTTTTTCATTGTTTATTGCACCTTGCAGGATCTTTTTAAGTTCTGAAGCTTGAGAGCTGTGAATACACTTTTTTCAATATACTGGAATATGTATTAATATAATGTGTTGTTGTTAATGGCACCTTGCTATTTTATACCATAACATGGCTGCCATTGTGTGGTGTTTCTCACTTATTTGTTTGTTTTAGTGTGAGGACTGAGTTTTGTTACGTATGCTTCTCTGTTTCATGTACTGTGAGTGAACATTCTTATTTGTGAATATAGCATACTCCATGGTCAAACAGGCTTAGTATTGCAGATATGGCAAGTACCATACCATGCACAAAAGAGGGCAAATGTAGCAGAATTGGTTTTAGAAAGCTGCTCGTCTAACTGTTGGCACTCTGTGTCAAGCGTTTAGATAGTTAAGCAAGTAATACAAAAATTCTAAATGTGATGGGGGTAAATTAAGGTGCCATATGCCCAAATGTGCTGAGATTAAATTGTTCCTACCATAATACCCTGCCACTGATGCAACAAAACCCCTTGTCCCAATCATTGCTGCCATGCTAGATTTCGGAGTATGAGTCTCCCACGCAATCTCCATCGCTCCGAACCCCAGACTCAGGGGGCAGACCGCTTCGGGTGAGTCCTGCACCAGTGCTTGAATTGAGTTGTCCTCTTTTGGTTGGTTTCCCTGTGGTCCTGTTTCTGTTGACCTCTCCTTCCATATCATTATCCTTGTTGTTACTGTGTTGCCTCTCAAACACTGCAATACCATGTACAACACTCCTGCTGCATCCTGGCTTTCTTATAGATGGGGTACAGGTGTCATCTTGATTGCTTAATTTTGGTTTTTGGCATGTGTTAAATGGAATGTCATTGCTCGTGTTAGTTTTATTAATAATTTTTTAATTTTGTTTTGTTTTGAATTATGACACTCGCTGTATTCCATTATCTTACAGCTACTTATCACGATACTATGTTTTCTTCTGTTTATCATATTTCAAGTGTTTCCCACTTGACTCGCACCTGTGTTCACTTTGTCATCTTCACTTTCTCCTTCTATCATAGTAGTCATGTCCTTTCTAGTTCCTAATTATACTCTTTCATTTACATCAGTCATTTCTCTTCTCCCTGTTACCACAAGGTCAACTCTCCCTGTTACCACAAGGTCAACTCTCCCTGTTACCACAAGGTCAACTCTCCCTGTTACCACAAGGTCAACTCTCCCTGTTACCACAAGGTCAACTCTCCCTGTTACCACAAGGTCAACTCTCCCTGTTACCACAAGGTCAACTCTCCCTGTTACCACAAGGTCAACTCTCCCTGTTACCACAAGGTCAACTCTCCCTGTTACCACAAGGTCAACTCTCCCTGTTACCACAAGGTCAACTCTCCCTGTTACCACAAGGTCAACTCTCCCTGTTACCACAAGGTCAACTCTCCCTGTTACCACATGGCAATCTATTTTCTCCAGGTTTTCAACACTGTTGTACATCTACCAAATAATTGGTATATATTTCTTATCTGTTCCTAAAATTGACATTATCAATTTTTAAATTGTTCCCTCTTAGCGAGACGAGCATGTGATGTGTTCATGGTTGCCTTACCTGATGTTGGGGCTCGCGGATTTTCTGTCCTCTAATACTTAAATTCTCAACTTATTTAATTATCTGTGGTGGCTTTTCCTATTTTCAATATTTCAGAGATAAGTTCTTTAGAATTATCTCATTATTATTTCCCATACTCTCCATATCCTCCCCTTCTTTCATTCATGTTAATCTTCATCTGATATTCTTGAACCTTTGCATCTTGCTTCTCCTTAGTCCATTTTCCTTTGGTATTGTCCATCAACTTTATAGTGTCACTTGGTACTGCTGGTTATGGGAACCGAGAGTTGCGCACACACGCCGGTCTGTATTATGATCATTGTGTAGTAGAAGGTTCTACACCTACAGTTCACATGCACTCCTCATACTTGTCATTTTCACCTCAACATTCATAAAAACTATGAATTTTGATGGCTGTTATGACTGGATTCTTGTGTTAATTAGTGTACTGCAAAATTTAGTGTTCAAAAACAAATATAAGTTAAATGCCACTGGAATTCCTTATATAAACGAGTATGAATATTTAATCTAATTTCAAGTAATGTTAATGGCAGAGATCAAGTTATTTTAGCTTGTTTACAATTTGTGTATGTGAACTGCAGCTAGTGTATAATCCTGAGCATGGAGAGTTGCGGTGCTTATTGAATTTTTTTGAGTTCTGCCCGAGTTTTCAATTTGCAATTGTTTTATTTATAATGATTTTAGTTATATTTTCTAATAATAAGAGCATTTGACCACAGTTAAGGTAGGTGCAGAAGTTAATTTTTAAATTCTTATTGTAGTAAATGCAATTTTTATCTTGTAATTTTTTGTAATTTTAAAATAATTTGACTATATCCTGCTTATAAAACATTTTGATTATCCAAGACATTAATTATAGATGCAGTAGTGGGGTATTAAGAGTAATCTTGATACAATGCTGTAAGTACTTCATTCTTGGCAACTGGAAAGTCTTGGGGGCAGCTCTCACTCAATGATCTCAACTTTTTTTTTGAATAAGCTGTTGCGTGACTTTGACCAATTCTGATGAAGTCAGAGGTCAGTCCTATTGCTGGGGTCAGTCCTATAGCTGCTGTCAGTCATACACCTGGATAAAATCTTGACTTGAGAAGCAGCATAGCTTGGTACCTTCTTTTGATAATTATGTACTTGAGGAGCAGCATCAGTCATTAGTACTACTGGATAGAATTTACGATGTAATTGGTTTCATGTTCTCAATTCTCAACTCCAGTCTAGACGAGGTCAAGAGTGACTGAGCTCAGAGAGGTATTGTCTGGTGCTCAAGTCTCTTGTAACAACCAAAATCTGCCACTTATTGTGCAGGTTTCATCCTACCTGTTGTTGGTTCTGAGGGTCAACATCCCTGTGACCCAGTCTCTTAACAAGTCTACCTTAAAATATATTCATACAAATCCTAAATTAATATTTTACTAGGTAAATGTTGAATATTCATTAATTTTGGGGTCTTGGATGATTAAAATATTAAAGTTCCTTGACAGTTCCTTCCCTCCCCACTTCCCTTCTTTATGCTCAATGTGACCCAACATCCCTTATGCAAGTAGTGCAACAATTTCCTAAATCCTGAAATTTAGGAAGGAATACTTTAATCAGTGATAACATCTCTTTCACAGTCAAGCAACTCAAAATTCACAAATACAGTGGGACGGCCGGACAGCTTGCAGCAGCATACACATGTATCTGAGTCAGATGTACGAGAGACTGCATGTTTTCATGAATGAATGTCTTATGCTGGATGTAGAGAATTTGTGCATTTTTTTATTTTATATAATTAAATTAATTCCCCCCTTACAGAAAAACACGGTTGTGCTTTAGAACCATGATTCTGTAGAATATACAGTAGTAATAAAGTATAATCTTGTACTGTATTTTCTTTCAGCAAAGTAAAGTCCAAGATGTGTTCGAGTGAAAAAATAGCCTAGGAACACGAACTATGTTGAAGGGCTCAATCTTCCGAGAAAAAGATATAAAATTTCATAAATATTTAAGATTGTTTTTATTAAACAAATAAACTGTCTTTAGATATCCCTAGTAGGGATTATTTACAGATGGCTTGTTGTGCTCCAGTGATATATGCAAAGTGTCTTCATGTATCAGCCTCTAACTTTTAAGACTTATGGATTGTTGTGCAATGAAGACCCCTTACAGTTTATTTTTCAAAATAGCTTCCTGGAGATAGGATTCAGAATAATTTTAACACATCATTGTGTAAAGAAAGCCTTGAGCCATAGAATACTGTAAGTATATTTAAAATTATGAGCATAGAAACAAATATTTCTGTATACATACACATGCCCGGATGTTAGGGGGTGTTCTGAGAATAGTAGTATATTGATCAAACCACAACTCAGAAGATGGAGAAGCGATGACGTTTCGGTCTGTTCTTGACCATTATCAAGTCGTGTGATAATGGTCCAGGACGGACTGAAACATAGTCGCTTCTCCATCTTCTGAGTTGTGGTTTGGTCATCGTATATTCAGCCACGTTATTGTGACTCTTCGTCTGCAATAGGAGTTTAATTTATATATACAGTATTTACCCCATAGGAAGTTTTGTGCTTCAGCAAATTTTTATTTTTATACTGTCAACACACACTGTTCCTAATCGCATGGTGCCTACCCCCATCTTGGCTTAGTCAAATTTCTAACCAGGAATCTCAAAACATTAAAAAATTCTAAATTTTTTGTACTACAACCTGGTTATTCACAGAGATTACCCACGTTACTCCAATAGTTTACCCGACTACTCCTGTTATTTGCCCAGCAACTCCCGTCATTTACCTGGCTGCTGCTATCATTTACCCAACTATTCCTGTCGTCTACCAAGTTAGCCATGCCATTTACCCCAGCTACTCCCACTCTTGACCTGGCTACTCCCACTGTTGACCTGGCTACTCCCACTCTTGACCTGGCTGCTACTGCAATTTATCTGGCTACTCCCGCTGTTTACTCAAAAATGACGCATAAAACCTTTTACTCTAAATAGGAATGTGGGTTAAAAAGTAAAGAACTGAAATGTGAATTCTTTCATGTTACCTGAATATTCAAGTTGTCGAGCTCTTGTAATACATCACGAGAATGGATAAAGATTTTTAATTTTGACTGTGTGTGTTTTAGATCAAGACCTTATACCTGGCATTGTAATATTGTCACTCAAATTTTCACCATCCTAAATCTTAGTTTTAAAGTTGGAATTTCTTCATATTTGCGATGAAACAAATTGATGTGATCTTCTTATCTGTATTTCAGAATTGCTTTAGAATTTTCATGGTTTTACTTAGTATTGTATAATTAACTATTAATTTTCTGCCTTCTGGCTATATGGTGATAATTTGTATATACAGTAGAGTAGCTGGTATGCCGACATGAACCATTACCTCAGTATAGTAAATTTTCCAAGTCATATTTCCACCAGACCTCTGTATAATATAATACTCCACCACTACCTTCTCCCACCCACTGCCATCCAACCCGGCCTCCTAACATAACGTCGCATTGTGATGTACATTCTACCGCGGGCCAAAAATTGTCGTACTAGAAAATGGTAGTGGCTCGGAAAATTGACATACTGTCCTGTTTTCCGTTTTGGGTCCTCTGGCTGATTAGGATAAGGGCACTTTAGTATGACAGTTTCTTGACGTTGGGAAATCTTAGCAGGAAGGGCTGTTTTGTCACCACACACCATCCCAACATCATAATCGTATATCAACTCCTCACCTCTATCCACAACTTCAAGGCCAAATATGGCAAACCACTTGAACATCAGTAATGTTGAAAAAATGAAGGAAGTCACAAGTACAAGAAGGCTGGTAAGTGAGATATAAAGAGCCACACGTCACTTCCACATTGTCACTGTTAGGTAACTATTTCCAACCCCATCAACACCACCATCCACACACCTCCCCTTCACATACCTTCCCTTTATATCCACCACCACCACCCCACACACCTCCCCTTCCCCTACCTTCCCTTCACATACCACCACCACCACCCACATACCTTCCCTTCGCATACCTCCCCTTCACATACAGTACCACAACTACCTTCAGCCTTTACTCATTGTATCAGGCTGTATTCCATAGACTCCCAGAATACACACTTCTCCTTTGTTCTCTTTATGGCACCATGTAATCATTTTGGTGTCTCACTCTTATCAGAAACCTGTGTATATATCCTGAGGTAAACTATCCTGGAGATACTTTTATCAATTGACCTCATGTGATCCAACCATCAGCAGTCATCATTTGACTTTAAATAGCAGCACAATATTTATTTTCTATAATGTATTCTGATGATCAAATGAGAAGTGGGTGTCATCATTTACCCACTCTTAAAGTGCTGCTTATTGCTTGTGCTGCAAGTTGACCGGCACTTGTTGTCTCAAGTTCCAGTTGTGCTGCAAAAGGCATTGTACTGAATAAATGTAAGACTCATGGCTGCTATGGCCAGCCATATATAAGGCTCATGTCCACCTTGGCCAGCCATATGTAAGGCTCATGTCCACCTTGGCCAGCCATATGTAAGGCTCATGTCCACCTTGGCCAGCCATATGTAAGGCTCATGTCCACCAAGGCTTGCAATGTTATTCGTAAAAGCTTTCTGGATACTGTATATTGTATTTGGTTTACTCTGCAGGGTGAATTAAATGTTGATGTTGCTCTTGCAACTGTTACACTAGATACCATAATAATGCTGAACAGATTTGAGCTGCTTTCTAAGTAAAGCTAGACATGGTGCTAAAGGTGCCTTCATAGTACTTAAGCTACTGTATCATGGTTCTAATGCATACTGGGGTCACAAAATGCACTTTATGCTCTCCCTAGAAATGAACAAATTAACCAGTAAATGTTATTTTTGCATTATTGTCAATGTGTTTCTTTTGCACTGTACACATTATCACAGATCAATAATATTTATTCTGTATTTTTCAACTAATTTAGTTTTGTTTTTATCCTCAGAATCAGTATTACAGTTTTCTTAATTTGAAGAGTATGACAATAGATTAAATATTATTCATTCTTTACAAACATCATATGAGCTCTTTATACTATATAAGTTGAAAAATACAACCACAATCAAACCTAGAATTAAGAATCATTCTTGCCTTTAAGCACTACCATTCAGGTTCACAGACAGGGCTTTAGCAGAAAACCATAAGTATTTTCTAGTACAGTAGTTTGATATTAAAAGACAAGGCTCGATAGTAAGGAGTTACGTTAATTAAAGTCACAGTAATTTATAGTAGGGAGGAAAGAGGGGAATACAAGTGAACTATACACAAATGTTTTAAATTGAGGGATTCAAACAAGCCAGTATTATGCTGGCATCACATACTGTATATTTAAAGCACACGGAGGACGTAATACTGACATGGGATTATCACATGATAACACAGACCTCCATGGTGAGGAGAGCAAAACTTAAATTAAACCCTCACAACAGTGAGATTGCTGCCTCACTGCACAGCCCAAAGCACTCTCACACTTAAGTAATTACCTTCAGTGCTACTAAAACAAGTTTCCTCTGAGTGGTGTAGTGTGGAGACTGAGGAGAGGCTTCAGGAAGCGTGGGAATGATATTCTACATCACACTAAAACCATCAATATCTCCCATACACAACTCTATATACAGTACAGTACTTGCAGACACTGTGAATTTATAAAAGAAATTTCCATAAATAAAAGTAAAAATAAAACACATTAATAAAAATAAAAACATTTAAACTAATAACAATAATTGCTGAACATTACAGGGTGTAAACTGTTTACAATAAAGGTGTGAAGGGTTCCCCTTAGGCTTTTGAAAGATTTCCACGATGCAACCCACAACAGTTGACTTTTAAGTACCCGTTTACTGCTAGGTGAACAGAGTCATCCGGTGAAAGAAAACCTGGTCCTCCTGAGGGAATTACACCAGAGACCGTTTGATTCTGAGCCAACTGTATAATTTATGATAATTTACAAAAATCACTGTATACTTGGTTTTATAGAGCAGTGAAATGTGACTGAGAGTTATAAATGTAGTAACAACAGCAGTAGTTACTACAGAGAGAAGCCAGTGTGTTAACTTTGGGTAGCTGGGAGTGCTTCTACAGTATATTTACAATGATTGTTTCTTATAACAAAGACCATTGATTCATAAAAAATATGGAAAATGAATGGGTCACTTATTCATACTTAGTTATGATTGTTTACATAAAATTAAACTGTCACAAATACTTATGATCATTTTTATTTTTTATAGGAACCATTTTATGTACACACAGAAATCACACTAGCATGATGCATCAAATGAACAAAATAATAAAGGCAGCGTCTGGGATGATCTCGGACGTAGGTTCGAATCCTCGTCACGGCCCTTGTTGATTGTTCAACCATTTTATGTTCTCTTTCAAAGTTTAGGTTTTTGTCCTTTAAAATTTGAAGCGTGAACAACATGGATTGTGTCATGCGAGTCAAGACCTTCACAGCAACAATGGTCACCAGCAGGTGTGCCGGGACTGATGGAAGAATTTCAGTTGGGAATATAAATTTCTGTCATTTATAAAAATAAAAAATATAAATTGGGTGGTGGGGAAGTGATATGTGGAGTAGGTCAAAATGACTGCTAACTAATATTTGAAGAAAATGTCATTACTACAAGAAACTAAGAGGTATATCCCATGTACATGTGATGCATTTGATGAAGTTGTATGAAATTTTACTTTAAGGCATTTTTTCTGGGGGGGGAGCCCCGTTGGCTCCCCGGAGCTATCCAGGCTGAATGGATATGGATAACTTTCTGGCATCAGTCAATGTGCACGGAGTTCTTGCTTACCAGGGACCATGAGCCAGAACCTGGCCCCCCTCAAGAGAGGCACGAGGAGCAATGGCCTATAGAAACCCCCATGTGGTTAGGAGCATTCTATGTCTGCCATCGACCAGATCTGGCACCCAGAAAGGTAGGCGCCCCAAAACAAACCCCCCTATTCTAGTGAAACTATTGCTATCGAAAGCCGAACGAGTGGACAGAATTTTCAAAACCAAAATTAGCAAACGAGCATGACGTCATCATGTCGCAGTGCCGTTGTCTGTGCAACCCACCCCTCCCGGGAGGGGGAAGAGGGAGCCCCAGACCCCCATGGCTTCGTCGGCAGTTCTGGTTCCTTCGGGGATGTCCCATCCGCCTTTCTTGCGACCGCTGGGTTTGGCCTTCAAGGGCCTTGCGTCGATTGCTGCGTCGCCGGCTTCCTCTTCCGGTTTTTCGGGGTTCAGTGCCTTTGCTCCTACCCGAGGCCTCGCTCGATGTGTTCATGGATGTGTTGTCTCTTGGCTGGGGCTTTGTGACCAGTGCTCACCAGGCTGGCCAGGGGTGGTGGGCTCTGTCCCTCCATCAGGCTCACAGCACAGTGCTGGAATTTGCGGCTGTGTGGATGTCACTCCAAAGGATTTGGATCTCTCGCAGATCGATGGTCCAGCTCAATTCGAACTGTTCCCTGGTGGTTCATTGCCTGAACTGCAGAGGTTCGATGCGGTCCTTGGCTCTTTGGGGCTGGTCGCTTCGAGTGACTCATCAGCTGAGTTCTCGGGGTTTGGCTCTCCTGGCGATAGGTGTACTTCGGTCTCTGATAGGGTTATTTTGTCCTTCTTATCATGGTTGTTTCAGGACCGTCTTCTTATGCCGAATACTGTCGCTCCCTATCATGCGGCGCTGGCGGAGCCGCTCCAGCTTGCATTCAGTATTGATGTTAAGTCTGCTCCATTCCGCAAGTTGTCTTGTGCATTGCTTCACCTCCGGCCTGCTCATGCATCTGAGCCCTGCTGAGCCCTCCTGGGCCTTGGACTGGGTGCTCTCTTTCCTCTCTTCTCCTTTGTTTGTGGTGGCCCCTTTGGTTTAGGATTGTTTTTCCAAGGCTCTTTTCCTGTTGACATTGGCCTCTGGGATTGGGTCGGGGAGCTTCATGCTCTCCTCCGGCACAGGGGTTTCTCTTCTTTTGGTCCTGGTGGTAGGTTTGTTCGGTTGCAGCCATCTCCTATTCTGGCGAAGAATGAGACTGCTGCTTTCTGGAGGGGACCTTGGGTTGTTGTTGCTTGGTTAGTCAGGCCGGGGTTACATCATGTGTTGTGTCCGGTCGCAGCTGTCCGCCGTTACCTGCGCTCCACAGCCTCCGTGGCCGGGAGGCACTTTGAGTTGACCTGGTTTCCCTTCTATCCTGTTCCAGGGTTCGGGTCTCTCAGGTTGTTTGCAGGGTTATTTGGTCCAACCGGCCTGCAGTCTATCCTCATGCCCACGGTGTTCGTAAGTTTGCTGTATTGGCTGCCATCTTCGATAGCGTGCCTTGGGCTGACAATCGGGCACAGGGTTTTTGGAGGTCGAACAGGGTCCTAGACGTTTGCCACCTTGTCAATGGTCCTGGGCCTAGTCAGGTCAATGTCGTATTGAATCGGCGGTTGCAGCCAGTTGTGTCGACTTTGCATTGAGGAGCAAGAGCTGACCGCCTCCTAGGTAAGTTCCTTTTGTTTTGTCTTTGGGTAAGTAGCTCTGGGGGAGCCAAAGGGGCTCCCCCCAGAAAACCAGCGTTGAATGTAATGAAAAAACATTTTCTAGGCGAGACCCAGAGGCTCCCCCGCAACTCTCCCTCCGGTCGGCGTTTTTTGTTTTTTTCGCTGTTTTTGACATCCAGCCTCAGAACTGCAGGGTGGATAGCCCGTGCGGGGGTCTGGGGCTCCCTGTTTTCCCCCTCCCAGGGAGGGGAAAAGTATGCGCAGATAGCAAAGTGGTGATGCCATGCTTGTTTGTTCATTTTCATTTGGGGGAGTCCTGTCCACTAGTTTCACTTTCAGTAGCAATATTTTAACCAGAATAGGAGTTTGTTTTGGGGAGGTTACCTTTCTGAGTGCCTGACCCGGTCAATGGCAGACATAGAATGCTTCCAACCACATGGGGGTTTCTATAGGCCATTGCTCCTCGTGCCTCTCTGAGGGGGCCAGGTTCTGGCTCGTGGTCCCCAGAAGGCCTAGAACTTCATGTGCATTGACTGATGCCAGTGTCTAATATATTCATATCAGCTCGGTTAGCTCCGGGACTCCTCCGAGTCTCACTCGCCCAATGTAATGAAATGGCATTTCATTACATTCAATGCTAGTTTTTTAACAAAAGTCTGGGGGAAGGAGGCGGGTGGGGGTGCTACATAGATGGGCTGTAACTAGGCATTGTCCAGTTACAGTCCAGTAAGTCCAGCAGCTGTACTGTGGAAATGTAGACCTACACAAAATATCATAGATTTGTCCCCATGAGGCATAGGAGCACAGGAAACAATTTGGCTTGTAGTGTGTGTGAACATGGGCAATTGTGCTTCATGTCAACTTTTAAAAGCACTGTACTACATACCAGTCATATACACATATCTTACTCTGTACACAATTGACCCTTGGATGATATTTGGCTAGGATGTGTTTAATATAGTGAAATCAAGGTTTACTTATACAGTATTAGGCATGTCAGGCTGTTATGAGCAAGTAATTTTCAAATTTTGCTAGCTACATTTTCATAGTATAATATTGATTCATGGGTCACTTTTGTAAAGGAGCATTCAGCCTTGACACAGGCACTCAAATACTTGTTTATATTTTTCTGGCTAAAGTCTGTCATCCAGCAAGCCACACTGTACTACACTGCGATATTTACAAAAAGCTGACTGCAAATGTAATTCTACATATACAGTACTGTACATACTATTGATTTTGCAATAGCACAATAATTAGTTTTGATATTTATTTATAATGCATAATAACTAATTTTTATTTTTTTATTTTTATATAACTGAATATTAATAGCAATTAGCTATACATAGGAAATCTAAATTTGAAATCATTCTAAAAAAAATATAAACACATAATTAGTGAATAATGCATTTTCTTGACAGCATTTTTAAAGGTTGCTCTGGCACCAGTGAAGGACCGCGTTGTGACTCTGTGAATAGCTTGGGTAGTCATGAGCCCGGTTGTCCATCAGCTCAGGGATCGCATGGGTCAAGACATTTGCTAGATGACTCTGAATTAGATCCACCTCCGCCACCCCACCATGAATGTACGTCGCCGCCTCACACACTCACTCGGACATGGTATGAAAAATGAGGCCCAGTATTTAGAAAAGTGATAGCTGCAGATAGCGTCTAAATATTTTGAGTTATTTAGGGCTTGGTCCATGTGGAAATATAGTTAAAGAAAAATTATCTTACTAGAAAAGCTATTGTAATACTTGAAAATAAGCTAATAATAATAGTTGGATATATATCTATGAAGGATATAAGGTTTGAAAAATTTGTAAATCTATTGAGATACTTTTGTTACAGCAGTGAAAGACTCGTAAAATAGGTCTGAAGCTTGAGCTTGACTTTATCCATAGACTATAGTTTCCAGTACCGTATGTGTAAGTTATTTGTCAAATTGCAGTCTGCGTTTAGATGACATTATTTTGAATGTATTTTTGCAGGTCAGGTCTGTCCTCAGACTCCGACACAGAGGTCGTCTTTGAGGTGAGTGGTGAAGAGTGTGGTGTACAGGGCCCGTTAAGACGCAAAACTGTCATCAAGGATGGCCGCAGACCAGCTGTAGCAGCTTGGCATAGATATTGGGTAAGATATGTTGATAATTAGCATAGTTAATAATTAAGTATGCATTTTGTAGCAATAAGTGCTCTCCAAAATTATAATGTGTGTTGTGAGAGAGGAGAGTGAATTCCATGTCTTGTCCCAGCCTGTGTAGGTGTATTTCTGTAGAAAATGACATATCACACATGGTCTTACATTCAAGTGTGTATGTTAGAACAAAAAAACTTTTTGCATTCAAAGATCCAGTCATTAAAATAAGTCTATATCTTTCAGTTTATTATAATTGTAATTGAACAGGAGGGAAGCAATAGGTAAAGCATTTTTACCAATGCTGGGAGTCACCAGAAAGAAACGTACAAAAGGAAGTAAAGTATTATACTAGCATTAAAAGAATTCTTGGACTTGATAATTTTAGCATTTACTGCTGATGAGGCACTCACTTGGAAGTTAATGTTTGATTAATACATAGTGACTAAGGTAAGGTGACAGTATATACCAATGAAAAAAACTAATGACTTTTGCAAGGCAATCATGAAGGGAGACAAATTGTATTTTGATGCAGGATGTAGTTTACATCATCTATAGTTCATATTGTGTAATATTGTGGTGCTTTCTATAGTACTACTTTTTCTGTGAGAAATTATTACTTTGAGTTTAATTATGAAAATGTTACAATTATAGGATGGCAGTCTTATAGGACGGCTATTAGTGTGTTATAGCCAAGACTTAATCAGGCAATGAGTCACAATAACGTGGCTAAAGTACGTTGACCAGACCACACACACTAGAAGGTGAAGGAACGACGACGTTTCGGTCCATCCTGGACCATTCTCAAGTCGATTTTGAGAATGGTAAAAAATCGACTTGAGAATGGTCCAGGACGGACCGAAACGTCGTTGTTCCTTCACCTTCTAGTGTGTGGTCTGGTCAACTTAATCTAGTCATTAAAAAATACAACATAAGATTACTGGAGAGTGAAAAAATGTAAAAGACAGAAAAAATTTTAAAATTCTTATTTTATACTGTATATATTATTTATATATTAATAAAATAATATTTTGCTGCCTTTATTTTGCTTCGCACTGTATTACATTTGTACTGTATAAAACACTTAACATGCCATAATACATTGTCATTCAGGTGGTTACCTATATAATTATCTTCACAGGTGCAGTTATGGGGTGGTGCATTAGTGTATTATCACCCAAAAAGCCTCACCTCTCGAGGTCAGGAACGAGCAGATTTCAAAACTTCCCCGTGTAAACTACAGCCTCTAGTCTCGGCAGGAGGAAAGCTGGTTCTTGTCGGTCCCCATGATGCACAGTCCCAGCCTGATGTGTTCCAGGTCAGGGTGTTCACCTTGGTAATGTCACTTGTCTTCACATACCACTGCCATGCCTGCAAGCTGGTGATGGTCTTTGCAACTATGAAACTCTTGAGAGAATGTAATGATATAATGGTGTAGACTTTAGCTTGCTTGTGGTTGACTAAATTAAAATTAGCTTACATCAAACCAGGGCTCTTCCCTGGTTTGTTCTATTGCCTTTGAATTAGAACTTATTGAAATAATGACCTTTATACACTAAGATGAAATTGTCATGTTTGTGTATGTACGTGTTAGATGTATCATGTTTTAGGTTAATGCAGCATGCCTAAGTGCTACTGGTGGAAAAAAAAAAAATCTTTGAATTTCCAGTTCTGAAGTTTAACCAGTTAGAAAATCAATATAATAGACAAAATTTCTGTTCTAGTCAGCTACAATTTTCAAGACAGATTCCATTTTAATATTTGGGGTGGAATAAAGAATATAATGAATTGAGTCTTGAAAATTATAAGCCCATAATAAATTTTGAATGTCGACTTCTCATTACTGCACTTGACACTCGACTTCTTATTACTGCACTTGACACTTGACTTCTTATTACTGCACTTGACACTCGACTTCTTATTATTGCACTTGACACGTTTGAAGAGTAGGGGAAGACACTCATGGGTTGGAAGAGGCACTCCTCAGGGGTGGTATGGAGGGCACACTCAAGGAAAGAATTGAAGCAAGGAAACAGTGAGGAACACCCACCCAACCACCACCCCCAGCAACATATCCATAGCAGTATCTGGGCCGTGTCATTTATGCTCTACAGTATTTTATGCTGCACAAGTTCCTTTTCTTACACTGCTTTCACTTAGTCATGTTCATTGTCATGTTGGGGTTTGTGGATATTGTGTTCATGCAAGCTTTAGTGTGTGACTGAGCAGTTCAATGGTTAACTATTGTAAAGTAAAGGTTTTGGGCATGTAGTTGAAGGCTTGCACCTTGTTCCAAGTTGAGATTTTATAATCCTTGCTTGTTATAGTTAATTCTACTGTGGGTCAATAACTATTTGCTTTCAATACTTGTTGCAAAGTCCTAAATTTTATTACATCTCTCTACTATTTCCTTCCTGTAAGAATTACGGTAAATGAAGTTTGAAGTTGATTCATTGGTAAGGTTAATGTTACTGAGGAGTTAATTGTATGTTTTGTTGTGGCTTAGGTTATTTGCTCTACTCTTATATTGAAGTAATTTTGTAATAATAAACAAATAATTACTTAAACATTTTATGTACTTTTCATTGACATGCAGTAATTTAAAAAACAAAAATAAATTTGCAGCTCTCGGACCCTGCGAAGGCTACGATATACAAGTTTCGGGCTCCATCGGTATCTGCAGCAAAGTCCTGGATATCCAACTTGCAGCAAGCTCTCTCAGAAAATATACAGAGACCACCTGAAACGCTTGAGAATCTTATGACATTTGAATAATCCTAAATATGGGTTTGTGTTCAGTGAAATTAGTATTTCTTATTTTCAGTTCTTAGACTTTTTGTTAAAAAGAAAAACATTGATGACCAAGTTAAAAGCTCAATATATGTAACATAAATTTGAAGTACATAAGTGATGAAGCTGTTAAGGTGATGAATTGTAGCGTTAAGTTGTGTATAATTAACAAATGACAAGAGAAAACATGAAGGATAAATTAATTTTAGTAGAATAGAAAAAGAAGAAAAACAATTAAAGGAGGCTATATGTAATTTAGAAAACATAATACAAAACTTGAACTCATGTTCCTTAAACTGGGTAATGAGGCATGTATAAGACCTCATGCTCCTCACACTATAATGAAGCATGCATGAGACCCCTCATGTTCCTCACATTGGGTAATGAGGCATGTGTGAATTACCAATGAAATGTTCATGATTTAATCAGCTCATTTCAGAGGATGGTACAATTAAATGTCTTATGCATGATGTGAGGTATTGAAAGAGAATCTTTTATCATTACTTTTTAATGTGTAAGCCATAGTTCTTACCTTTTTTTCAGCAATTGCAAGTGTGATTTCATTCTTTATGAGAATCATTTACAGAGGTCATTTTACCCAAACTAGCAATGACTATACGACTCATTTCAGTCTCTATAGCAGATTGTATTTCCCAAATTTCTGGGCTTTGCTGTAATTATCTAGGTAGCAATGGCTCCTAGTCAGTAGGGGAGTTGAACGTGTTAATGTACATATAATAATGACCTTCTCAAGAGATGTGTGTTGCTCAGTAACACCGAGCTGAATATTGTTTCAGAATGTGGCCTCTTATCCATGCTGTAAAAGGTTTTTAACCCCCTAGCTAACAAATCAGAGGAACATGAGTCTAGTCTAGTCCTTATAAACTGTTCTGCCAAAGGAAGTAGCATGAGTAATGATTAATATGATGTTTGCCATAGGTCAAAATACTGTATGTCTAGAAATGCAAATGCTTGAATATTTGAAAATGCTTGAGGTATAAAGAATGTCTCGTTGGCCCGTGCTTCACACTTTCATATACAGTAGTTTATGTAATGTATTTTGTGGGAATGCAACTGAATGTGTTACTGAATCCTGATTGACTGACCAGAATTTGACACAAAATTCCATGCCTGGTGCGTGTGGTTTGATGCATGTGTAAAACTGGTGACTAGCTGGGATACTCGCCATTTCTTGTAATATTTCACCAGACAAAAAGAATAATTGGCAGTTTCATAAAGCTAAGAAGCTGATGAACATATTTTAAATTTAAAAGTTTAGTGAACCTTTCCAATGGGCATATTATTTTTTACCCAGATCTGGGTTGTTGACTTTGGATTTGAGAGCACCAAAATATTTTTTCCCTTCTTGGTCTTTCCTAACACAGTAGAGGGGAAAATATACTCTAGATATTGAAAATAGATCAGCATAGAAGAGTCTCAGTAAATTGTTTCTTTTGCCAAAATCCAAGTTTTTATAATGTAAAGTATACTCTGTATGAAAACTTTATGTAATTTGAGACATTTTAAAAAATCTGACAACTTGGATATTGGTGTGAGAGTATGCAACTAGTAGGCACTGTGAGTGTGTGTGTGGTGTCTTGCTGCCTGCCTCTGCTGTCATGTGTACATGGTGATGTGTGCGCTCACATGTGCACATGGTCATGTGTGTGCTCATGTGTACATGGTCATGTGTGTGCTCATGTGTACATGGTCATGTGTGTGCTCATGTGTACATGGTCATGTGTGTGCTCACGTGTACATGGTCATGTGTGTACTCACATGTACATGGTCATGTGTGTGTGCTTGTGTGTACATGGTCATGTGTGTACTCACATGTACATGGTTATGTGTGTGTGCTCATGTGTACATGAACATGTGTGTGTTCATGTGTACATAATCATATGTGTGCTCATGTGTACATGGTCATCTGTGTGCTCATGTGTACATATACATGGAAATGTGCATGTGTATAAGTGCTCATGCATGCATGTATCTACACATGTTCATGTTGAGTGTGCGCATCTGCTCAACTCTGCAAGTGCGCGTGCTCACAAATATTTGTATTTGTTACAGTGGCTTTAATACAATTATGTCAAGGCTGATTGTTATTTCCTTACTGGCATTGGCTGAAGCTAAAGTAGCATTTTCAATTTAAATTATCAGAAAATTATATTCCTTACTATGTTACTATATTCCTTACTATTATATATATATTTTTTTATTTATTTTTGCTTCAGCATTTGTTAACAACTTTAAAAAGGTAATGGAGCTATGTTCTGTTAACTTAGTATGGAAATTTTTTTTTTTTTTAATTTTTCTTTTGGGGAAGATGTGCACATAATACATGAGGAAGGTTTCTTGACAATTTAAAACCTATTTTAAAAGCCGAGGTATTATTGAGTATGGCACTAAATGTGTGTTCTTGTATACAAACATATCTAAAATATGATGAATATGGCCATTTTGTGACTGCATGTGATGTACCTAAAGATGTGAATACATTCATTTATAATACATGATATGTATTTCAAGTGCTCTATGGCTCAACTGCTTTTGTGAGGAAAACACAAGTTTAAATATTGCAAGAAAAATATGTATTTTTTTTTTTTTTTTTTTTTTTAAGCTTTGTCATTTATACTGAACCAAATATATTTTGTCAATAGAAGAGCTAGTGCACATGTTAGTGCAGCTGTCCGCATATCTTTGTAGGTGTCATTCATCACTGCTCTTTCCCTTCCACGGTCAGCTTCCTACATAGTCCATCATTCCATAATATTAACCATTTCTGTTACTCAAATTTGACTGTTTCTGGTGTCGCTTAACAAATGCCATTCTTTTGATACTTATCAAATGCCATATTCCCTCATTGCAAAGAAAAAGCATTTCTATTTCTGTTTGCCTTTATTGCACCTGTCTTGTGTACTGTATATTGTTACCATTTTAAAGCACAGGCAAATTGTCACCTGTTGCAAATTGTTTTGTAAATATTATGTTTAAACTTGCAACTTCCACATGCTAATGTGTTGGAAATAAAGTTTGACATTGTAAAAATATTTTAGCATGATAAATTGTTTGCCGGTCAAAATACAGTGAGCATATTTACTCAATGAAGCTGTTGCTAGAGTTTGAATTAAGCAATTTGAACATTTATGACCATTTAACTTCTGGAGGAGTCATCTTTATAATAAGCTGTGTTCTGCAAGTGAAATGTAAAATGTTATCAAATTCATTGGAGATCACAAGTTCTTTAAGCCAAAGATATTGGTCAAGTGGGAAAATGAGTATTAGGGTTTTGGAAATTTTCCTGCAATTTAAAGAGAAGTACATATTGCTGCAGCATTCTTGTATGTTTACATACTAATTGATTTTAGGCTGTGAAATATATGATGTATAAGTTTTGGTGTGCATTCATTACTTGTACTTTGTGCATTACAGTTTCTTGACAACTGGATGCTTTAGGTATTCCTAAATAGTGATTAAGCAGATTTCTGCAATCCCTCTGAACTTGAGGGTGTAAAGTATGAGAAGTTTTGAGATTTGTTTAGCATTTAATTGTGGTTCATTGATAAATGTAAATACAGCTTAAATACCATGCAAAATGCTAATAAGGTCTCAAAAATTCTTTATCAGCCTCAAATACTCATTCCAAGCTGTGTATGGAAGCCTCTTGCTTAGGGGCACCAGAATTCAGTATTATTCAAGCTTACAGTTTAAAAGTTTTTTTTTTTTTTTTTTGTACATACAATATTTGCAGAGATTGTTTACGCGACATAACTGTCACTCGATAGAATTCATCCAAGCTCAGAACATTTAAGTGTATTGGTAAGGTATTGCTTCCAATAAGTTGCTCTCAACATTTTAGATATAAATTTAGAGGTCAGAAAACATAAATTTGCTAGTGTATCATAGTCATTTATTTTAAATGGAAATGTAAAATTGTAAAGCCTTAATTTACAGATGATTCAAAATTTGTGATGTTATAATGCATACCCATGAATGAGTGCTCTTATGTTTGTAGCAATAAAAACATTAATCTTGTGCAGATTAATTTACTATTTTAATAACCATGTACAGAAGAAGACGTAGCACTCTAGGCACTGCAGGTGGCTGTTACAATACTTCCCCGCCTTCTCCACGGCAAGTGATATCTGGTAGACTAATCTGGCTGGCCAATAAATTGCACACCCTGTATAGCCTTATAAGTTGAAGTGGTACTTGTCATTGGTGTCCAACTGGAGGGGTTGTCGACTCTCCTGTGAGCCAATCACTCTGGGTCCAAGCAAAGAGGCCTGGTAAAGGTGGGTGGTTATGATGTGGTGTGACAGTGTTGGGTACCTCAGGACAAGAGGTGGTGTGCTCATTTACATCCTTGAACACTTCTAGCAGTGCCTGCATGTCCATTGATGAGGCCGGGACAGTACTAACAACCTGTACAGGGGTACTGGTGATAAAATAGTGAGCCCCACCTGCAGGATCTACAACATGGTGGCAAGTAATTATTTATTAAAAGAAGACGCCAAATAGATAATTTTGTGGTATCACAGGAAATCGTGCTTAAGGATTAGCTGCTCAACATCCATCAAGACAAAGGCTCACTGAAAACATCCTCGATAGGCATGGCCGAGGTCCAAAGGGTGGGTGGGTTCTATAGGTAGACAGTACAGTATTACCATTGGTAATGTGTGTGTGTAATGCATAAAAATGTAACATATTCATTTTTGAGTGACAACATTCAAAAGAGTATTGTAGTTTTTGTTTATTTAATAGTCTTGGTTTCAGCAGTCAGATGACGTGTCATGATAAGTTGAGACAAGGATGCTTGTCATGTACTGCTGGCAGAGTCGGGTAGAACATAGTGCTGACGATGGCCGGAGACAGAGAGCTTGGGAGGCAGAGCGCTTGTGCGAGGCCGTGAGCCGAGAACTTGAGTTATGTTGGGGTAGAGAGGTAGAAGGGGGGCAAGAGCATAGAGCTCAAATTGAGGAGTGGGATCAGAGGGCCTGAATGTGGGGTTCTCACCCCACATGGGGTTCTCACCCCACATGGGGTTCTCACCCCACATGGGGTTCTCAAGCTATGTGAGTAGCTTGAATAAGGTTAACATTGGCTAACTGCTCTGTAGTGAGGCTGTAGCATCTTGTGTGAGAGTTAGAACTAGACTCGCCAAGTGTTACATTGTATGCTGGTGAATGCTGATTGCATTGGAGACAATCCATGGCATATCCAGAGCGTTTGTCACTGAACCACTATTGTAGTTAGTGCTGACGCTACATTCCTGAACGGCTCATATCCACATTTCACCTGACATTGTGTTGGGTGAGGGTGAGTTCTCTCAACCTATCCTCATAGTTGCAGCCTCTCTGATATCATATGGGAGAGGAAACCCTTTTCGAATTGGACAGAAGACTTAGTGCGGCCAAAATTACTCTGACCCTCTTGCCAGGAGCTTGCATCAAATATGTAGCAGCCACATTATACCTAAATTTAGTGGCTGCCACAAAGTCTCTAAGGTATTCCACATTCCAAGAAATTCTATTACAAGGATATAAAGTTCCCAATAATCCCCATAATTTTTAATGACACCTGCAATCAATTTACTAATCATTAATGATGTCTGTAACAAATCCTCAAGATTTCCATGAATTACTTAGGACACCCAAAAGTAACCAGTGAATTTCCCATCAGATCAAATGATGATCAGCCTGCCAAGTGAGGCGCAAACTGAATCTAACACAAGATCAGGTTAACACGGGTATAAAACAGTTGATGACAAGCATCAGCGGTCTTGTAACCAACTTCCACACCCGTTACCACTCACGCTACAGAGCAGACAGTCACTCCCAACCTCAATTGAGCTCTGCTCTCGCTCTCCTTTGAGCTCTCCACTCCAGCCTCACTCAACCTCTGCTCTCTGCTTCATTCAAACTCGCCTCTCCAAGCCTCGCACAAGCACTTTGCTTCTGACCACCTTCAGCCCTGCGCACTACCTGACTCTGACAGCAGCATGAAACATGCATCCTTGTCTCAACCTATTACAACACCTTTGAACCATTTCTAACACCCAACTGCTGTAACCAAACTATATTAAATAGACATAAATTAATAAACTCTTTGAATATTGTCACCCAAAATCTTGTATGTTATAAATATGACTATCTACACATGTAAGGTAGTCATATACAGTATAATCTAAACAGCTAGAAAAAACATAGCACTTTGGTGAAAAACATGTCTACAAAGTCTTAATAACAAAAGTAATTATCAAAAGACTGCACCAAGCCAGGGAGAGACTGTAGGTTATACAAATAGCTATAAAATGGTCTGATAATCCAAGGCACACAAATGGCACATTAAAACAATTAAGAGAAACATTAGTCTGAAAAAAAAACACTTTTAAGATCCTGAAAGTCATACAATAACTCGCACAACAAATGGATCAAACTTCCTGAAGACTGACACTCTGGCCTCAGATTAAAAAAACTGAATTCTATTAACTTAATAAATTGAGCCTAAACCTGCCAAAAATATCCCAAAGATCAGATCTATATCTTGCAAGAAAACCAATGGTGCCATTATGGCATTAATTTACTCAAGATAATCTACTAAACACATGACAAAAGTGAATTCCCATTTGCCCTCTTTATTGAATTTAAGAAAAACCCTTGATATCACCCTTGATAACCCTTATCTAAAGTGCCTTATCCTAACCTACAAGAGGATCTTCCACAATACACAGTACCTCACAAAAGGCTATTACAAAAGTTGGAGCAGCAGGCAGGAGTAAAACGTAAGGTGCTCCAGTGGATAAGGGAGTATCTAAGCAATAGGAAACCGAGTAACGGTGAGGGGGGAGGCATCAGAGTGGCGAGATGTCACCAGCGGGGTTCCACAGGGCTCTGTACTCGGACCCATCCTGTTTCTAGTATATGTAAACGACCTTCCTTCCAGAGAGTATAGACTCATTCGTCTCAATGTTTGCTGATGATGCAAAAATTATGAGAAGAATCAAAACAGATGAAGATAGATAGAGACTACAGGACGACCTGGACAAACTGGAGGAATGGTCTAGAAAATGGCTGCTAAAGTTCAACTCAGGAAAGTGTAAAGTAATGAAATTAGGCGAAGGGAGCAGAAGGCTGAACACAAGGTACCATCTGGGAGGTGAAATCCTGCAAGAGTCAAATAGAGAGAAAGATCTGTGGGTCGATATCACACCGAACCTGTCCCCAGAGGCCCACATCAAAAGGATATCATCAGTGGCATGTGCTAGACTGGCCAATATAAGAACTGCCTTTAGAAACTTGTGTAAGGAATCGTTCAGGACCCTGTATACCACTTCCAATACTCCAGGACCAATCCTGGAGTATGCAGCTCCAACCTGAAGTCCATACCTAGTTAAACACAAGACGAAGTTAGAGAAGATTCAGAGGTATGCCACCAGACTGGTCCCGGAACTGAGAGGAATGAGTTACGAGGAAAGGCTAAGGGAGCTGAACCTCACAACCGTGGAAAATAGAAGAGTAAGGAGAGATATGATAACCACCTGCAAAATTCTCAGGGGAATTGACAGGGTGGACAAAAACAAACTCTTTAGCATGGGTGGAACACGAACGATGGGACACAGGTGGAAACTTAGTACCCAGATGAGCCACAGAGACGTTAGAATTTTTTTTTCAGTGTCAGGGTAGTTAACAAATGGAATGCATTAGGCAGTGATGTGGTGGAGGCAGACTCCATACACAGTAGGCAGGACCAAAGAGCCAGAGCTCAACCCCCGCAAACACAACTAGGTGAGTACAATACATGTACTAGTATGTGTATTCTTGCACATGTACTTACCGAGTTGTGCTTGCGGGGGTTGAGCTTCGGCTCTTTGATCTCTCCTCTAAACTGTCAATCAACTGGTGTACAAATTCCTGAGCCTACTGGGCTCTATTATATCTACATTTGAAAATGTGTATGGAGTCTGCCTCCACCACATCACTGCCTAATGCATTCTGTCTGTTAACTACTCTGACACAGAAAATCTTCTTTCTAATGTCCCTGTGGCTCATCTGGATACTAAGTTTCCACATGTGTCCTCGTGCATGTGGACTGTGTGGAACGTATTCTTACACACGAATGTAAGAACGCCAATGTTATGTACTCTCACAAACCCAATGTACCTTGTATATAAATAAATAAATACTGTACATTTAAATGTAGTAAGCATCCATCAGTCTCAGGAGACTATGGAGATGTGTTCTGGTTGTCGGTCTGGAGTGGCCTCTCCAGGGCGCAAAGTCAGGGTAGGTTGATATGGAAGAGAAGCTGTTACCCAAGCTGTAGGTCCCCCCTCTCTACGGCGCCAAAAGTCTCAAATGGAAAGGCAAACGCCAATACGATTGGTTCCAGCACCGTCGCAGGAACTGTCAGAACGAGGTTGAAGGCAACAACGAACTGCCCTAGGAGCTCTAGTTCCGGAGTTAACCTCGAAGTTGGTAAACGAAGGCACAAGGACTCCAAACCCAAAGACTGCCGTGGTCAGGGCCGGAGAAGAACCACCCCAGCAAGGGCAAGAATGACCCCAGCCTCCAGAAGCAGAGCCTGGGCCACATGAGCCTCAGGAGGTGGACGTCCCATTCCCACACCTACGGGTTCCAGGCAAAAGATCATAACAGCCCCTTTCACCCGAGGCCAGCTTCCTTCAAGACCAAGCAGAAGGAAGAGTAATAATTAGTAATTACAAAAAATTATTATAATAATAATATAAGTAATTAATAAGATTTCTTAACACTATTGTTCTACAAAATAATTAAAGTTAACTTAGGTTTTGTACTGAATAGTTGTGCTATCTGTTTCTCAACTGTTACTAATATCTGTGGATTCCTATTGCCCAAGAAAGGAGATTAATGTGCAACAAAAACCAACCAAACTCAGATTTTAAACCGATTAATTTTTATTTCATGAAAGGTGCAGTTTGGGATGATATATCATCTAAACTTCAATTTCATGAAAGTTGTAACAAACTTTTATGAAATTTTATCCATTTTAAGTTTTGCTGGAAGA